AAATGTATTTAAGATACAACTGTAATAACCACAAAAAACCGTTACCTGATATTAAGGCCTCTCTAATTCATTGATAATAATATATTTAATGTCAACATAATGAGCTATTGATTCGTACGTAATTAAACTCACGTTATCTTTGTGCACAGCTAATTAACTACAAAGAAGAACAAAAAACCGGTCGAGATCTTTTTTAGTTTGTCGACTGCGGCATAGTCCTAATGGGTTGTGGGTATAAGGTTTAAATGAAGGTGTCAATACAAAATATTAACGCCACTACACAGTGGTATAGTAAATACAAAAACTTAATAAATAATGCCCGAAATTGCGGTCACGGCGGCCAATAACCAATAGTAGGATTCTTTATTCCCTTACTCTTGTAGTCCGTTGGAAAAGCAATCCGACACAATGTAGCTGGATCAACGGCTTTGGCATGCGGGAGAAACATCGACAACTTATTCATTCCGGATAGCTACTGAAAATTTATTGACTTAAGATTGGGTAGGTTTTACCCTCTTACCTATCTGCCGTCAAACAGCAGTGCACGCACTTCCACTTTCGGTCTGATGGGTATACAGAGCCAGTACAGTTACAGTCTGTGAGGCATTTAATTTTAGTTCTCAGACGTGACAATAAATCTATAGACTTCTTTGTTTGTATAACAGGTTTCCCTTATATTGTTTGAGGGTGGAATGTTGTTGGAAAAAATTGGAATAAGAATAATCTCATAGGAAAATTATAATCAATTCAATATAATAGAGGTGATCACAAACAAATAATTAAGTATCACTTATTATACGTACGAACGAGTCGCGAAATAACAGAGTTTAGGTAATAATTTGTATGATGCGATATATTTTGAGGAAAGAAAGGTTTATCACAATATACAACAAACCCAATACACACAACACGCTTGTGTCCGAAAGATAAGAGATCGTGCCCAGTGCAACTGTCCGTGTAAGTATCGAGGTTATTACGACATGTTATTTTTTACGTGGTAGAGCCATGCTGGAGCTATATTAGCTGTATAGTTGTAGCACGAATGGTTCGGCTCGACCGGGGAAGGACCACGCTCTCACAGAATACCAGCGTAAAATAGCAGCTTAATGCTGCTGTGTTTCGTATGGTGAGTGTAGAGAACCGGAGACGCTTTTTACTGGAAACGAGGCATTCCATCTTAGTCCAACATAACACACCTGCATCTTGATTCGTAATCGAGGATAGATGTAGATGTCTATGAGCCACAGCAACCACTTACCATCAGGTGGACTGTGTGCTCGCTTGTCACCTTTATTCTATAAAAAAAAAAACAAAGGAAAAAATAAGGTGATTAACAAATATTTTTTGAATTCGCTCAAGGTGGCTTTTGTAAACATTGTACTGTGGAGACCATATCGAACTAGCGTATACAAAACACTTCTGACAAAAGCAAAATAAAGCATTTTAAATGCATTAACAAACCCAAGAATTTCATAGGCTGTTATACATAGGTTGATCACATAATTAATGTGTTCGGATAGTATCATTTTTTGACACGATTTTGGCTGATTTTTACCCCATCAAAGTGATATTTATGTAGAATGAGCTAAGTTTTCCGTATAAAGGTAGTACAATCGCACTTGCCTGCATTAACAGTTATTTTATATACTCTGTAGTATTATAGTAAATGATCGAAATCCTTTTGTGTCAATGGGCAGTCATGTATAGTGTTAATTTACAAAAAGATAATCAGTGTATTCTATGCCCGAACCTTAATCATACAAGTAGGCATTATAAAAAAGTGGACCTAAATGATAGCCCTGGGGAACTCCTGTAGGTATGTTCATATGCCTCGAGCAGTAACCACCTAATACGTCGCCTGTAAGCGATTCATGATATTATGTGTTTCAGTTCCCCGGAACAAGAAACTGAAATTCTAATGTTTGCAACTTGTTGAGCAAGATCACGTGATCCACACGATCGAAAGCAATGTTATTAATTAATTATTAGTTATTTATTATATTTAATTATTAGTAGCAGTAATATTAATTTAAAAAATACTGGCAGTTTTGTGTAGTGAGTGAACGTTTTGGGGCACAAATAGTTAAGTGGCTGCTACAAATCCAGACGGACTTCTAGGTTAATTGTCCTTACATATAAAACTCTCTTTGTAGTTTCTTATGCTGCATCGGAGTTTTCTCTGCATATATTACTCGTACAATATCCACAATAGAAACTTAGTAACAAAGCATCAGTAACTACCATTAGGCAACCCACCATTAGATGTAGAAGTAGAAACTCTGCTTTTGCATTTCGTCTGGTGAGTGCAGGTGGCCTGAGGCCCAAATTCCCCCCCTCCCCCTTAACATGGTAGCAGAGTTAAAAATACACTACCCCAGAAGGGTACCAGAATCTCCGGTGACGGAGAATCCCTCGCTGATGAACCACGCTTAAGCTACCCTACTCTTCCTGAGCGTAGGGTAGCTTCGGATTCTGGGGGGGGGGGGGGGGGGAGAGCAAAATCCTACTCGAGACTAAACCTGCTCGGGGCAAACGGAGCAATAAGTCAAAGGCGCCCCCTGTTACGCTAACCGTGAATTTCTCCAACTCCACTACCATCTCGAAACGGCAAAGCCGGCCTCGCTCTTTCTAACCGAGACGCAGGTGTCCTCTCCGGCTGATACTTCGTATCTCTTCTACCGGGGGTACAAATTAGAACACTCCTTTGTGCCTCGGGCTGGAGTTTGCGTGTACGTCCAAATGGCTGTAGCCTCCGTGCTACAACAGGTCCCATCCGCAGAGATCGTGATGCTTGGTGATTTTAACGCCCACCACACTGAATGGCTTGGTTCTCGTTTAACCGATCATGTGGGTAGATCTGTTTATGACTTTGCTTTGACATATGTTCTGACGCAACTGATTACCTCGCCTACGCAGATTCCAGATGTGGAAGATCATGTACCTTCCCTGTTGGACCTTCTGCTGACCTCTCTTCAGGAAAAATATGAGGTCTCCTTCGATGCCCATCGCGATAGCGTTGGAGTACTCACACCGCCGACGATGCCGCGGTGTGAGTACTCCAAGATTTCAACAAGTGGGCCTGATGGCGAGTTGGCACCGGTTTTAACGCGTCTTTTCCGGTACTCCTACTTCCTAGGCGTAGTCCTAAAATCATGGAAGACAGCTTTCGTGCACCCAATCCCTAAAAAAGTAACCACTCTGATCCGTCCAAATATAGGCCTATAGCGATCACCTTCTTGTTCTCTAGTTCATTATTACCAGCCAGCTCATGCGGTACCTTGAGGATCACCAGCTGATTAGTGACCGTCAGTACGTAGTAATATTTTGAGAGCTAAAGTACCCATAAAGTTTTTGAAATTATCAGGAAGTTATTCAGTCAGGGTTAAGTAATTTTTTTTCAAGTTGAAATAAAATAGAAATATCTCTCAAGCAGAAATTTTAATTTATGTGAGCTAAATCTGAGTTACTAGTAATTAGAATTTTGTAAATGCTAGCCATAATACTAACAAAAAAATCTCTTAAAATTACTTCACAGAAATAGTTATAGCTAAAACCGTCGTTAAAAAAAACTTAAAATATAACAAAAAATTCATATCTCGAAAACCACAAAAAATCGCAGAACATACATGGGTTCCAATCTATAGGTATTGGTGTACCCAGACCACAGACTTTCGCTGGTACAGGTTTCCTGGGACATTCTGTATATACAATCAAACCAGATAATTCTCCTTCTGAGCAGGTAAGTATAAAACGTTTGGAAACATAGTAATATATTTAAGTAAGATTATATACAATTATGTTTATTCAAGTTTACTTAGAGAAAGTGAGAATGTTAAGGAAATCATGCTATTCAGTGCAAGTGTCTCAATTTAAACACGGGACTACATAAATGTTGGTTTTATTGGAAGGCTCAGTAAGGAAAGGTTGTATAAAGTCGGGATCTTGGATTACTAGCCTTTAAAAAAATTTAAATAAGAGGATACTTGCGGTGTTTCTTCGTCGTAATTTCTCCGGACAGAAAAACCTCAATTTAAAACGGTTGTAGATTATAAAGATGATGACGTTTGAAAAACTAAATGAAACTTCTTACGTCGAAAAAGAAAGGCTATTAATTATATTGACCATTAAAAAGGACTACTTCATTTCATCTCCTTTAATTTCAAGAGTGAACGATTGTTATAGTAGTGATCATAGTAGAAAATATTGGGCACAATAATACTGGCCTTGTAAAAACGCTTTTAGAAAAAAAAACTTTTCACTTCAGTGAGTGCATTGAATATAAAACTAACCCATCAAAATAGATTAAGCTGTTACGAACCTATTATGTAGCTAGCAACCCGCCCCGTCTTCGCTTGGATGGGATTAATTAATGCGGCGTTATTTAGGCTTAAGTTAATCAAAGACCATTTATTTTATTAATTATTCGTTATTTAAAAAATATCAAGGTTACTCGTAGCATCTAGGCCTCTATATCTGTTTTGTAGAGTTTCATTACAATCGGTTCAGGCATTCCGAAGATTAGCGCGGACAGTCCGACAAAAATTTTAATTATTTATATCTGCAAATAATCCCCTGGTTTTCATAGAAGCCAGTTATTTCAAAATTAGAGACAGACACAATAATTTTATTTATATTATGTATAGATCTATTACTTGACCTTGAATTTTCAGTATACAAAACGAATACTAAATAATATATTAATGAAATTTACTATGGTAAAAACAAATGAAATACTTTAAATTCTAAATCTAAAGTACTACTACTCTATTCTACTATTTTCATGTATAACAGGGTGACAGAAAAAGACAGAGCCGTTTTCCAGTTTAAAAATAAAATATTTTTACAGGTATTACATTAAAATTATTAATTTATCGTAATAATATAATTTTATAATACTATAAAAAAATTTAATAAATCTTGAAATATCTACCTTGATAACTCAATTTTTAATAAATGAGCAAATTTCCCTGAATGTATATAAAAAAATTGTATATGCTTACGGCATGTCCTAGACTCAATGTGCCCTTCATTCGAAACCGACACATACGGATTTTCATTTTTCATAAAGGCTGTGATTGCAATGGCCTCTGAAAGAAGAAAAAGAAAAGTTGTAACTGGCGAATTCTTCCAACAAAAGAAGAAGACAACTGGCGATGACGTATGCCTTTGCAAAGATCTGCATACAAAACGATAAATGACAAATCTGGATCAGGATCTTAATAAATTCTAGTCATTTGTAAAGAACTTGTAAGTTCCAACTATCAGCAAGTATAGTCCCGAAATGACAGATTTGAAATCATTAGATTAATTCCAAATTTAAACAAACAAAATCTCGGACGCAGCTAGTGGACTATAAAATTAAAAGATCGTCACCTTCATCATAATTATTACTAAATTACTTACATAATTATATTTCCTTTTTAATATAATTGATGTTTGAACTTTAAGCTAAATTAGACATCAATCTTAATATTTTAATTATGTTAATTTTCCGTTCATCCGACAATATTACGGACAAAAACGTCGAAATCAATCTCAAAATGAATTTAAATTACGGTTATTATAACGCATTATTATTACCTCGGACATATTTATCTATTAGACACAGATATCTTACAAAGCTAATGGCGCATATTTTCTTAATTATATTAAGAAATATTTGAAAAATCACATTCAATTATATTAAGCAACGGCCTTGTGGTTATTCAAGAACACAGATAAGGAAAAAAATAATTGCCGCTTGATTAAGTAGTTAATTGTATCCGCATACAGTTTAATCATAATTTATTTATTTACTAGCTGTTCCCCGCGACTTAACTCGCGTGTAATTTAAGGTTTCAATTTTTTTGCGCGGAATCCTAATAAATAGAAGATAAAAGTAGCCTAAGTTACTCCTTATGACATCAGCTATCTGCCAATGAAAGTCCCGTCAAAACCGGTACAGGCGTTTCGAAGATTAGCCGGAACAAACAGATAGACAAACAGACAAAAATTTTAAGAATTGTATTTTTGTTATAAGTACCGTATATACTTTTATATGTATTTAGTAAAAAGCTGTAATTTTGATATTATAAACAGACAATCCATTTTGATTAATTTGTATAGATTTATTCTTTAATGCAAACCGTTTCAAATAGAATATGACAAAAGGCGGACGCAGTTCTTATTGGCATATTGAACGAATTGCCAATAGAAATTGTGTCACAGTCAACCTGGGTGTGGTGAAAATTGAAGGAAGCATAAAATGAAATTTAATTATGTAAGTATACAAATTAAAACAAATAATTTCACGTAACTTGTCATATGGTGGCGGAGTAAGTATAGAAACTGAGTGACAAGCGTCCCGCCAAACACTTCACTCAGGTCGTAGGGTAAGGTGTCAGTCACTGTAGTGACGAAGAGTTCAATATAATTAGATACGACAGTAAAATTTGCTAAGATCCGTGCGTATAATAAAATGGTGTGGCTTACATAGTATAAAAAGCTCCGCCAATTCCTTAATTACGTGCACTATAACCAACGGGGCATCTTCAGGAGATATAGATTTTGATGACATGACGTACTGCTAAGTCACTTAGCCCGAATTTTAGTAAATTAATATTTTTTTAAATAGAATATGCTAAAATAACGAACACATAGTCCATTGTAAAATGGATCTCCGCTTCTCTACAATTACCATACGAAACACTATAGCGTTTAGGTGCTATTTCACGCTGGTATTCTGTGAGCGTGGTCTTTTCTCGGTCGGGCCGACCTAACTGTTTGCCCACGTAACGCACCCTATTCAGGCCAGGTTTAGGTGAAGAATATGAGGGTAGAGCGTGCAGCGGAGCGAGGCTTTTAGCGTACATGACAAACACTCTTGTAGTTCCCTGAGTGGCGGGTGCTCAAATACATTGGCAAGTGTATCACAACATTGCACGCTCTTTTGCCCCCACGTTCTTCTAAAATGACGTAAGATTAAATTAAGAAATGCTAAAATTCATAGCATCCTAATGATTGTTTGAAGAAAAAGATTTTATCAAAAATAATGCTATAGCTTTATTATGAAGCTATTTTTCGTTATGATGTTATAACATAACTAAACAATAACAGCGTCAAGAGATCATCAGTTGCGGAAATATTTAAATGAGGACGCTATCAAAGCGAAGATCCAATAACACAATAATTGAGACATTAAAGTCGGGACTGCCAGTTACGTCACACATGACGGCGTGTTGAGTTTGTTATGCAGATACGCTCAAGTACCGTAACTCTAAAAGTCTTATTGTGCAAATCTTTGAGCAAACGTAAGAAAGGAAAAATATTAATTGGTTCCGGACAAAACGTTAGTGCTACAGCCTATAACATACTATATATGTTCTGCTGGTGGCTTAGTATTCCTGTCATTTTATTTATAGAATAACGATGAAAAAGGAGCACACAGTCCACCCAATGGTAAATGGATGCTGTGATCCATGGGCATCTACAGTTATCCTCGATTAACAATCAAAATGTAGGTGCGTTGTCATCCCTGAGGACTAAGATGGAATGCCTCGTTTCCAGTAACGATCTTCGGTTCTCTACACAAACTTTTCGAAACACAGCAGCATTAAGCAGCTATTTTACGCTGGTATTTTGTGAGAGCATAGCGCTACGCCGGTTGAGTCCATTCCATAATATAACTGCAGCGTGGCTCTACTACGTTTATGGAGCAATTAGTCTATAGCGCTCCTTTATAGCGTTTTGGAATAATGTCCTTTTTATGTAATGCTTGAAGGTGTGTGCAAATATTACAGGTGCACTCTCTATTCCCTCACTCTCACAGTCCTATGGGCACTTCTATACTACCTGAAAGAGATCAGGCGCAGGACTAACGGCTTTACGTGCTTTCCGAAGCACTGGGGTGAAACACCACCAACTAACTCCGACTTTGGGCTTCCGTCCGGTTCACTGATTATTTCTTGAGAAAAAAACCCAATTACTGATTCTGGCGCTTCTCAGGGTTCCCTTATAGGTTATTTTGTACAGGGTATTATTATTTTTCTCACGATGTTTCTTTCACCGCCGAGCAAGTTGTAAATCAACACTTAAAATTGCAATTAACAATTTAATTGGTACAGTCAGGATCGAACTTAAGCTGCTCGTGTATTGCGAAATTTATGTTGTGTAATTAGCCTCTGAGCTACAACGGCTTTTTGGTTTCAGATATCCAAAATAAATTTAAGGGCCAGTATAAATCTTGACGCTGGTCTTCACTTATCACTAGTAACTTCACTTATCCCTTACTCGTTTTGTCTTTTTCATATTTGATTGAAAGACAGCCATAAACAGAATTATCGTTAGTCATATTAATGAAGCAGCCGTGGTAATTTTTTGTTAAAAGTTTAATTTGGTGACCCTTTAGAGAGGACCAAGGAATATCAGTAACTCGAATAGTTATAAATTTCATTCCTTTTTTCCCCCCACTCTTATTGGTGGATCGTCCTAAAAACCACTCCTAAAGTGTAACCGATGTAATAAAATAAACCAATAAAATTGGTTCAAAATTGACTAACATATCGAGTAATGTATAATATGAAATTATGCAAATAAAAGAACATACAATAAAATTAACAACCTCAGAAAGGAGAGGCGTGTTCCTAGTTCCTAGAACATGTAATATGCAGGGCGTTAGGAAGGTTGTCCGTAACCGCAATTGACAAATGGATTAGATGAAATACAGCAGTATAATGCTGTTAGTTTATGCTAGTATTCTTTGCTAGTAAAGGCCCTATCCAGTCTCGCTTCCAATCATTCGTGCTACAACCATAATATAATATATTCATAATAGATTGCAGCATGGCTCTACCACGTACAAAATTTTACAACATTTTACTCGTAACTACCACATGGTTGGTATAATATTTTGGTCACACGATGTTTTGGACATTTCAGTAGATAGCAGTATAAAGATTCGGATTTTGAACTTAGCTCTCGTCAACTTAATACGAACATAACGAAGTTCAACCAAGGATTTGTAAACTGACTGTTTCTCTCTATAGGCGGGTTGCTTTGCTACAAAGGGCATATGGATATGTGTAACTGTATATTTTTTATGTTTTTTTTTTATAGTCAATTGCTGATCACCGGCCAGTCTAAATACGAATTCCTTTATTTTGGTTCAGAATTTTTTTTATATAGAATAGGGTGACAAACCAGCACAAATTCAACTTGATGACAAGTGGATTGTGTGGCCCATAGACATCGACATTTACTCTCGATTAAGATTCAAATTGCAGATGCGTTTTCACCCCTGACGACTAAGATGGAATACTATCCATAAAAAAATTATCCGGTTCTCAGCATCACCATATCGAGGAGAGCGTGGTCCCTCTCCTGTCGAGTTGACCTGATCGTGCTACAACCATAATATAGCAGCAGCATTTTTCTCAATAGGATCATCATCATCATAGCTCATAATCAATACGTGTCGTGGACCACATACACTTACATCTACCCTCAATTAAAAATCTAAATCTATATCCTAAAGACTAAGATACAACGCCTCGTTTTCAAGAAAAATGGTCCCCGTTTGTCTACACTCACTATACGAAACACAGCAGCATTAAGTTGCTATTAACGATGGTATTCTACCAGCGTGGATCTTCCCAAATCTAGTCCATATAATCGTGCTGCAAGTCGATCCATTCGTGCTACCTATAGCGCAGTGTTGCCTTACAACGTGTAAAAGACACTCTAATTATTTCTAACTGACTTAAAAAAGGAGGAGGTTCTCAATTCGAGTCTATGTTTTTTTTTCTTTGTATGTATATTACGCGATATCTTCGCAGATTGTGAACCAATTTTGATGATTCTTTTTTTATTAAATAGATTATGTAGTAAGGCCATAACCAACATCTTTATAGCTTTTCCACAGTGCTCTGTTAAGACACTTATAATAAGAAATCAAATGATGAATTCTCAAATTCGTATATGTATAATCGTATCTCAAATACACTATATATACTGTACGATCAAACCAACAAACCCTTCATCCCAGACCACCTATTACTATCCTTTAGTATTGCGAATAGAGAGTGCATTTAAAATAAAAAGACATTGTTTC